GAGCCAAACCATTTGTTGTGAAGGGATCTTCATTGCAGGCTCTAATCACTATATTATGATAAGGTGGGGGATGAGCTCCCAGCAGTAATCAGTCTTTTATTCCTGAAAACTCATAAATCCCTGTTGCAGAAGCTTTTAATTTCAACACTGAATTAATCATTTATCTAATTTAACGACAGGAGAAATCTGGGAGCAATCTTGTTTGAAAACTATGATGTCTTCACCCTCCTGCTCCTCAGGCTTCGTGGCCGTTCACGTAACAACTATTTCAGAGCTTGACTCCAGGGACAGCCCTCTGCTGAAATACCTGAGGCCTCATAGGAGATTTCAAGAGTAATAAACTCAAGTATCATCACATCACTCCATAAACTTTCCAGATCTACACAAACAAGGAAAAAAGGGAAGAAACAAGGAGAAGGCAGCTCCTCTGGGTTCCATTAGCGGTGCCATTTTAACTGGGGGGCATCAGCCTTGTAAGATCTTTCACAATTCAAGAAAATCTTCATTTCCATGAGCAGTGAAAGCCATGAATTCCCTGTTCCCAGCAGACTGCCCATCTATGAACCTTCTCCCCCTGCTCCCACTGGGTCAGCGAGATTCTCCTCATTCAGCCCAGGAGGACACTTACCATGTGCCAGTTTCTCTAACGTGATCACCTTAAATACTCATGTCCATTAAGTTTAAAGATCTTTGGACCATTAAATGGAACTCTTAAATACCAAGTCCCACATGGAGTAAATCTCTTTGGCAGTCTCTCCATTGGAAAGCTGCCCTGGATGCAAGGCTGATGCCTATCAGGATAAGATACTGATGTTCTTTATGCACTCCTTGATAACAGTCCTCTCAGCACAACATGCGAAGCAGCACAGCCACTGGTGAGCAGCTTTAGCAGCAGGTCTGCAAATCATAAGGAGATCTCAGAGGGAAACTCAGGTTCAGAACAATTTTATCTTTTAACAGCTCCCTAATCCCCTCACCCTGCTCCTGCAGGTTTCCCTTTGAGCGAGTCACACCCTGCCCAAGCCAGTCCTTGCATCCAAATTTAACAGCTACAAAAATAACACAGAACGTTGATAAGACAACCTTCACAAAAGGAAATAAATCAAATTCTTCAAACCCAGCGTTTGGAGGATAAGTCTGGAGTGCCTGCACTAAGCCATAACCTCTTCACTGATGGTTTTTTCCTTCCCCTTAACAGATTCAGGGTCTGTAATAACATTTAATCCTCAGAAGCTAATCTAAATGTAACACTCAAAAGAAGACAAAGACAACGCAACAGAAAAAAAAGTTTGGCCAGTGCCTTTTGGGAGTGCTGCTTTATCCCTGGAGCGAGAGCATTAATAGAGCTTGGAATGAAATGCCATTTTATTCTCTGTAGCAGGGAGGGGATTAGCAAGTTGTCTTCTCTAAGCCCAGTCTGAGTCATGGCTTTATGAACACTGAGAAAAGGATGCGGAACGAAGTAAAGGGCGGGGAGCACTGGCTTTTTATTTACACACTGCTTCCTTTGTGGGTGGTTACTGATGTGCACAGTTTGCTAAACAGGGAAGGAAGGAGGAAAAGTTCTAGGTCCCCAGATTTCCATTCTGTTGGTTAACAAAGGAGAAAAATCATAATGCACCAATTATAACAACATCACTGAGACAACATGTCCGTGGCAAAAGTCCAATTCACCACAGCATGTAAGCAACAAGGGCAAGTTGCTGAAGGTGCTGAAAGCTGTGCTCAGTGGTTTGTTGTTGATAGTTTCTTCTTCTTGGGAGGAAGAAACTGGTTGGACAGAGCCCAGAACAAAGAATAAGGAGGCAGAAGCAGGCTGGGTTCAGATGAAGAGACGAGGAACAAAGTCCATGGCACGATCAGGCCATGCAGGCACCAAAGCCCAAGAGCTTAAATCACTGTGTCAGTGATTTAATAGGAAGCTCAGCACTCAGTACCTCACCCCTGTCTCTAGACAAAGGCAGACAGGAAGGTTCACATGCCTACGTTACCGGCCCCCTGTGAAGGGTCACTGGTGGAAAGCTTGTACAACATTCCTAAATCCTGCAACACTTGATAATCGCTAAGGAGAGGAAATAGTCCGTGGAATGCTTGACCACTTGTGCAGAGCTGTAGGTGTTGATAACAGAATTACACAAGTCAATAAATGCCAAGAAAACACTGGATTTTTGTTTCAGTTATTTATCTGTGCTTCAACATGGGCTTCGATATCCAGGGAAAAACTAGCTGTGGAAACAGCTCCAGCTCTATTCTCCTCTTCCTCCATCAGCTGTGCTGATACACATGGCAGAAGACAACCCATATAGGGTAGACTGGTCTTAAAAAGCACAAGTGCCCAGGGGTAGATCAGACTTCACAGTGAAACAGGGATAATATAAGCAAAGAAAGAGACACTATGGGCAGGGGATGTCCTCTCCTCGTGCATGGAGAAAGTGCCACTGCTGGGCTCCTTTTGCTACAGGAACTGTTGTAGTCCAGCACTGGAAACAGGCAGACCTGTGCTTCATTCATAATTTGACTCTATTCCAGTTCATGTCATTTTGCAGGAGTATCAGTTTATTCCTGCCAACCAAGCTACTAGATCTGTGTAAATCATCCTTACCCATTTTAGCACTCACTGTGCTTGTGTGTCTCATAAGAAAGCACAAAACAGGATCAGCAAACTTCTTTCCACTGAAGTCACAGTATCTTGTAATTTATTACCATAAACAGGCTGCAGGAAGACTTGAATGTACAATGCGTAACCAGAGGACCTCACAAGATGCAGACTTCCAGTCCTGCCAGTGAAGCATGAACACCAATGCACAAAGGAAGTTTCCCTGACCCCGTCCCAGCCTTATCATGACATGCTCATGAGGCATGTGTGCTCTTTAACGTGTGGCACGTCACAGCAATGATCATGAAAAGGATCATTGCTACTGCTTTAAGAGATGGATACACTGCAGTGATGGGGTAAAACAATGACTCTTCAATGTACAGTTATCCAAGGGCATTATCAATCCCAAACCACGCACTCCATAGTTCAGTGCAATCCCAGCAGATTAGATTAGTATTAGGAAAGAATTCTTCCCTGTGTGAGGCACTGGCACAGGGTGCCCAGAGAAACTGTGGCTGCCCCATCCCTGGCAGTGTTCAAGGCCAGGTTGGACACAGGGGCTTGGAGCAACCTGCTCTGGTGGAAGGTGTCCCTGCCCGGGGCAGGAGGTTGGAACTGGATGAGCTTTAAGGTCCCTTCAACCCAAACCAGGCCGAGATTCTGTGATTCTACAAATTTCTATTGAAAGAAATAGCAAGTATCATGTCCACTTTCTCCCTCAGTTTCAGTAGTGCCACCCAGTGTGTCCCTTCTCAAGACATCCCTCAGCCACGTTATCTTTTCACACAACATTCACATTCACAGTATCTCAGCTGCAAGGAAAACAGCCCAAGGAATCTGTCCTTTATGATGGCTCAAGTTCATATTGCCAAATAGAAGAGCATTGAACAGTAAGGCCAGAGGCCAGGGACTGGCAAGTGATAAAGGCTCAAAGAAAAGGGTAAGGAAATCCTAACATACCATAAACACATTTTCTGGCTCTTGATAGAAAGAAATCATTAGCATTTGCATCGGTCTCAGCCACTAACCTTTATGAGACACGGCTGCATTCCTGAGTTTCCTACATTACCAGTCTCTACCTCCACAAGAAACAGAAGAGACCAAATGAAACTGAAGCCTCAGGAACTAAAACTTAAGACTACGATAAGGAACAGGCTAGTCATAGTCTGTAAAAACAAGTAAAGAACATAATCCAAGGTCCCAAATCTCTTCCTTGACAAAGCCACAAGGATAAATCTCTGCTACATGTGTTCCCAGCAACTCATTACACATCTGCAGAGGCAAATCCAAGGAAGAGCTGATAAAAGACTCTCAAAACTTTATGTCCTATGTATTTCTTAAATTTTATTTAAAACTAGAATTTAGATTTCTACCATGGAAAATGGCATGAAAAAGCTCACAATGTGTTAGCTGCCTTGTTTTGGCTTCTTTAGCAACTTACTGCTTGACTGTCCAAACAAAAATGTGAAATTACAACAGGTTATGTGATGCTTTGGCAGCCAAAGATGATTTTAAATAAAGACAGCACAATATACTGCCCACCCTACTAACATATTCATCACTACTATATTATGTATTTCTGCAATTAAGTATCATACAGTCTGGACTGGACCCAACTGGACTACATATGTTGCTACTCCAGTTTACTGCATGTTGGCCAACTGTTTACCCAACTGAGAACCGAGTGCTGCTCTTGACAGTGTAATTGCTTTAGACTCATTAATATTAAAGAATTAGAGAAAATATTTCTTCTTGGGCAGCTGTTAGTGCATGTGGAACAATAAGCTATCTAATAGCACTGGCAAACACAAAAGGAGTTTAGACGCTTAATATGTTCCTGGTAAAAAGGCAAGATTAAAGGTCTGCTAATTGTATCAAGGTCACTAAGAAAGGCCAGAAAAATCATCACACCCATTCAAGAAAACTTTCAAGATAATTATAACTCTCTTTTGATTGGAATTTACAGGGCTAAGATTGGCACTGGTCACCTTTTCCTTCCCTGGACAATGCAAACCTTTTAAGTGGTGCTGCTCCTCCTCCTGCCATGCACTAGCCCTGTCCTGCAACGTGTAGGTTCAACACATTGGGTCAAAGTTTGAACAGATGAAACACATTCCATTGCCATCCTGAAACCCTCGGAAAACTCTCATTAAACAGGAACAGTTACTAAGTCCGTGTCTTCTCCCTCATTCTTCCTTGGAAGATCTAACAACTTCATAGTAAATTCTGTCAAGCTTGGCACAGAACAAGAGGGTGCTGCCTTACAAGTCTTGCAGCTCCTCAGGCCCCTGAATATCTGACAGGAGGTAACTCCACACTCCATTTACAGGAATATCCAGAGGCTACACACAGAGGGTTATGGAATGTGACTGGAACTGCTGAAAAGAACAAAAAGGCTCCTCACTTGATCTGCTCCTCCGCCTTGCTGGCTGCCTCCTTGAACTGCTCACACGTCAGCTTGTAGATCTCTGCGTTCTGAAACCAAGAAGAGAATACTCAGCTCTGAAAATGAAAGGTAGCTCAGATGTTATCCTGTCACAAAGTTATCTTCTATAATTAATAACCATTTCCAACAACAAACGGCATATTCTGTTCAAAGAACACCCAAAAAAATGCTTAAAAGTTGATTTTCTTCTCATGCATCAAGGCCACATGTCCTCAATTCCAGCTTCACCTTTGCAAAGGTCACCAAACCCAGCCCTCAGCTTTGACTATTCATGTAACCACAAAACCAAGGTGTTTCCAAGCACTGAGCTAGAGTTTGGTTGTGTTTTGTTCTCTTTTCTCATTAATTGTTTTGATGGATCCCAGAAGTTTCTGACCATGCAAGTATCAAACCTGGCTGCCAGCACTGGAAAATCCATCCTACATTTCAGTGCTCCTACTTATGGGACTTAATTCTTTAAAACAAAATTATGCAGCCTGTTTCCCTTTTAACAACATTGGGAGGCATATCAGGTCTCAGCTACAGCACTGCCAAACAGCGGCTTGAGTGTCTTGCTGCAGGGCTGAAGAGGTTTGCATTTAACTCTCCTGAGCTTGCACAGAAAGAGTTTTAGTTCACAACTGCTCAGCTGCTGAATATGGAGATGGAATTCCTCCTCGGTTGCATGTACAAGCTTCCCAAGCAAAAACAGAAGGGAACGGCCCCAGCAACTGTGCTGCTGATAAAGCTGCTCCAGGCAAAGCCTCTGGACTTGCTACTGCAACTGCCTCACAGCTCATCTGCAAAGGCACATGCAGAAAATAGGCAATAATCAATCAAACGAGTGACAAACTGGTATTGGAAGCGAGGACAGCTATTCATCTAGGTTCTACCCGCTCTCGTCTCCCCAAATTCAGTCCTTTTCTACAGAATGCTATTTTTGCCCTTCTCATCTATTTCCCCGTGAATGCAGCCATGGTCCTGCGCATGATGAGATGACACACATTGTTCAGTGGTTAGGAAAGGAAAGGACAGACACAACTCTGACACTACAGGCAGTTCTGCCACTTGAGCAATCCTGGACCAGTCACTGTTTTCCAGGTGGGAGCAAGGGATAACAGCTATGACTGAAGCTGGGTGAAGCTCAGCTGATGGTTTTATACAGGTTACTCAGAGCCTTCAAGGTGCTGTATTTAAGTGTTTTATCTCTGGTGCCTGAATTTATGTCACATACCAAAAAATGACAGAACAAGCTCTGTTGTTCCAAACTTTGACTTAGGAGACAGACTTACACTGAGAAATCATGAGGAGTAACCACTTCAAAATGCATTTTGCCAGCAAATCGTCATTACTGTTTTCATTTACTTACTTGTTAAATAATGGCCACAAACTTCTGTGCTATTGAACCCATTTTTCCTTTCCTATGATGAAAAGTTCAGCTTTTAATGGAGCCTTTTTCCCTGTCCTGTAAACAGCCCTCCTGACTCTCAGCTCCCTGCTGTTACTTATGCACACATGAAACCACAAGACCTGTGCTCCATTAATTAAATTTGCCTTTAAAAATTAACCAGCGTGAGTCGGTGTGTTATCTCCATGGGCTGCACGAGGCTCCCCATTTCTCCAATTACTACCCAAGCAATTTTCATATTTCATACAGTCTGATTTCTCAAAGGGACTGGATTTGAGAGATCAAAATGAGAGAAAGTGAGAAAGAGAGAAAGCAAGGCATAAAATTAAGCATCTTTCAGGCACCACAAAGTAGCCCCGTCAGACACTATTAGCCCACAGCACTCTGCAGTGAAACAGCAGCACGGGAGGGAAACAGGAACAAATATGCTGTAGGTGAGGCCCAGCGTGAGGTTGGCATTTAACCCACCTCAAGAAAGGAAAAAGAGCCAACAGGTCCATTTGCTGGTCACAGTGTGGATTAAAGCTGTTGTGGCACAACCTTGTCTAGTCTATTAGAGAAGTTCAACTGCCCAGCACTATAGCCAGCCTCAGCTTCAACACCACCAACTACAAACAGGGACAGAAATAGCTGGGAAAGAGCTGGTACGAAATAGCTCTGGATCTTAAAGCTGATAAAAGCAGGCAAGTGAGGACCTGAGTGAAGAGGCAAGAATCTCAGCAAGGGAAAGGAGACCTGGCCTCAAAGAAACCACAAGGCTCGTGGCACAAGGAGAAGATCAAAGAGGGGTGCACAAGACCTTCAGCCTGAAGATGAAAGCAGTGGGGGGTTAAAAATGAAAAGGAAGCATGTTTGCATGTGATCCAACTGGGTCTCCTGCCTTTGGATCAGACCCTTCTCCTGCATCATCCCCCCTCTAAAACCCAATGAAGCAGAATTTCCAGTGCTGTGAATCAGTATCTTTAAATGCTTCCCCAAGTCAGAAAAAACAGAGTTTTATCATTCAAACCCGGGTGGGTTCAACAAGCCAACCTGCTAAACAGGTTTTCCTTGGCCTCTAGGCCCTTTCCTACCTTGGGAAAGTCCCATTCGCTTTTGTCCTAAACACTAAGGGAGTAACAAATGGGCAAGACACAGGCACAGTCACGACAGGTTCTGTCACTTGAGGCTTCTATTTAGAGAGTAATTCTCCAACTATCCCCATCTATATGACTGCAAATGCAAGTTCTGCTTCAGCTTCAGTATTTTACCTACCACACTATGCAGGGAATAATGTTCCAGTGGCCTAGAAAAGGTTTCAAGCGAGGAGCCAAGCCTGGAACCAGCCCTGCACTTCCCATGGCTCCAGCAGAGCCGCCCGCAGACAAAGGCTATTCAGCACGGTCAAGGTGTGGTATTTGCACTTGAAACAAAGTCTGAGATTCCCGTAGTCACAGTGAAGTCCTTGAGCTTCATAAACTGATATTCAGTTATGCAGCAGAATAGAGAACATTCCACACAAAATTACAAGACATGGACGCTGCTTTTAATTTACTCTCACAATATTTGATGCTCGAGATAAAATGGCAGCTCACAAAGAAAAAGTTGAACATGAGACCTCAACTATTATTAAATAAAGCTCCTGGCAGTCTTAGTTGCAGAAATGAGTTAAAAGACATGACCAAAGGACACCATAAGGGCTCAAATAACAAGAGACAGAGAAAGAATGAATGAACCACCTGAAATGTTTCACTTCTCTCAATAAAGCTGAGCCTTAGGGGAGCCAACTTCAGAACATCAGAGCTTTGTCATACGGGGAGAGAGCTCTCCAGAGAGGACAAACAAACTAAACAAAGAACTGTTCGTTTGAAAGATGTTGCCCTGCTATTAAATGATGCTTCGTAGTGAAGAATAACAACACCAAGAAGATACAAAAATACCTAACTAGAGCCTAAAGACCAACAGAATCACTTTCCTTTACCCTGCTGCCTTTCCACAACAGCTTTGCTGCTCTACCCTTGCTCCTCACTCTTCCCAAAACACCCTGGCACTAAAAATTCCACTTCCAAAGGGAATCCATTTTCAAACTCGGAGCTAAATTTGGAGTCATTTTAATTCAGCATTTCTCCTTGGCTGCAAACACGCAGAGACTCCAACACTCGCTACTACACCTCGGTACATACTGCACAGGCCCCTTCCACATACAGCATAGAAGGTAAGAAGACAATATAGCAGAAGATGGAGTTCTCAGGGTTATTTCAGGAGGGAAAGTAATTGAGGCATAAAGAGAAACCCCTGCCAGCTCGTTCTCACACTGCCATTAAAACCACATTCCTTATAACCTCAGTGCAACACACACTACTTGCAGGAACACGTAAAGCAGAAAACCCAGCAACGCCAGCCCAAGGAACTAGAAATTAATGAGGTTTTAGGCCAAATTCCTTGTGAACATCAAGCAGCAGAATCAAACGCTTGACAGTGGGCAGCAGATTTCCCCATCAGGTTCAGGCTGGGTCAAGAGATCAGAAGGGGTTTGGATTAGAAACGCCACAGAACAACACACCACCATCACTGCGGCTATCTGGAGATATTCTGACACCCCTATAGAAGCTTGTCAGTGGCCAGAGCGTGTAAAGATCCAAAGAGGATTAAGAGCTGTTGAAACGCTGCCAGCAGCGATGAATGCTGGTGATAGCTCATGGAACAGAGCAGGCCAGGGGGGTCTGACAAATGCTGCCAGTGACAGCCGGGATTAGATGGTAGGATGTGCCTCTCGCCTGACAGAGCACTGCTGCAACCCCTGCTCCCGACACCGCGCTCCCCAGTGCCCAGCAAAGCTCCAGTCCAGCCAAGAGGAGCAGGGGGATACATAGTGTGCCCTACGAGCATGGAACATGCAGGTTTGGGAGAGAAAGGGCAAGGAAAGCAGAGGTTACATCTCATGTCTCAAATGTCAACTGGGAGGCATTCAAATTCCTGCATCCAGCTGCTTCTGAAGGCAGAAGACAGACCTCACAGCCCCTGAGAGCACAGCACAACTGTCCCTGCCCGCAGGGATGGGGAACACACGTGTCCTGGGCGCAGCTGCTGCCCCAAGGAACACAGGGAAGCCACAGGAAAACATCAGTCATGGGATCACAGAGTGGTTTGTGTTGGAAGGGACCTTAAAGCTCATCCAGTCCCAACCCCTGCCCCGGGCAGGGACACCTTCCACTAGAGCAGGTTGCTCCAAGCCCCTGTGTCCAACCTGTGCTGAAGGAGCTGCCCTCGCTCACAGCACTGCCCAAGGGAAGCAACGCAGCACCCGGGCTCCTGCACCTCACTGGGTCGCTGGCTCACACGCACCATAAATCAGGGTGTTCACCCCATCACTCCAAGTCTTGTGCAAACAGCTCCTAAGAGATCTGAAAAACTAGCCCAGGTACCCACACCCCTCCTGCAGGTACAGAGGGAGAGGAGCTGAACCCATCTGTTCACTGGATGACCCTTTGGATGCGTTAAAATCAACCTACACAATCAATCACTGCTCTCAGCTCTGGTCCCAACCAGGGAGTTTGGGAATTTCAGGATACACTGAAGCAACAACCCCTTCAGCTCCTGAGCTCGCTCCTCTCGAGGTCCTGCTCAGCCTGTTTGTTGGTATCAGCCAGCATTTAGCTGGAA